TCTAAACTGAATCTTTTATTTTAAGATAGTTGATCACCATTTTTCCATTGTTTTCATTGATGTTGGTAATCACAAAAAAGAATTAGAACTATTATGTAAAATTAAAGAGTCACAAAAATAATAATAATAACAACAACAACATCAAATCATGATATGTCTTGTCAAAAGTGTTCATTACGTTTTCTTTCACTAAGCTTTTCGGCTTTCTTCTTATTTGAATTTTTGACCATCATCAGCAGATGTAAGATATTTCATAGAATGGATTATAGTGCAGGAAAATGACTTAAATAAACAAAGAATGATGGTAAACTACTTACTTTATTTCTTGTTTCAAGAGAGTTGCAGAAATTAAGAGCGACTCATACTGATATAAATGTTTGTGTGATGTCACTTTTTAGAAGATTAATAAAATAGTATTATTTAATCAGTCATTTTTTATTTTACTTCATTGTTATTTTGTTTTAAGTTTACTATACTGATAGGGAGCGTGTCGCGAAAGTCATATTTGATATAATGACAAAAAATTCTATCAAAGAGTTATTTTTTTAAGAATCACATTCTCTGACCTAGTTTACGCAGATCTAACCACAAGCAATTAAAGTCTTAGTGTGCGACCATTTACAACATCTGATCAGCTTACATATGGATGGTCCTAGGTTAGATTATCGACATCGAAAACTACCAAAGTCAGCTGAATATCTAAATGTAACTTGCTCTACACGCTTTATTACTTTACCATGTATTCTCCAACCTAAGTGCTTTATCCTTGGATTTTATATCTATTTACATCTGATGAAATAGGCCGTAAAAACATAAGACTGAATTCTAAGGCCTAGGCTGAAAGTCGAACTTTTCACGAGACGAACCAAACCTACTAAGTTAAGTTCATAAAAAGTTCGACGTCTGGCTCAGTTAAGTTCGTCTGCGGAATGACTTTGGACACTGAACACTGTCTCCGGGACAAAAGTCGATTTTTACATGCGGCGAACTAGACTGATAAATCAAAATTTGTGTGGTAATGTCTATTTAGAATTCGTTGGGCTATAATTGGTTTTTGGTCTGACCCAACAGACGATCTTAACTTAATTTAGGTTCGACCCCGTATCAGAGTTTGGTTTGTCTCATGAAACTGAGGTTCAACGTTTGGTCTAGGCTTGGGGCTATCTCGCACCTATTTGAAAGATTATTTTTGATTAGCTGGGAAAAGAATAGGGATTGTCACATAACAATGCCCCTATCCCCGAAAACACTGGAAGTGCAGATTAACCCTCGGACGTACACGCAAACTCATACTCCCACCGTTCTACAAGAGGGGGAGGGGGGAGAGGCGGGTGGAACCCAGTGTTTCGAAACGATTTTACCTTTAGTTGAAAGCCTTTGATCTTCTTAACAAGATGAGGTATATTTTATGGGTGGTGGCGCTCCTGGAGGCCTGTGACGTCACTAACAATGGTCGCCATTTGGCCGCCATTTTAGATTATACCAAGAATTGGAAATCAGGTTAAAACCGCGAGAAATGGTTTAGAGATTTTGTGCTTTTCATGAAAAATAACACATAAATAAGAACTTTGCATGATTTTAGACACAAGATTTGTTTTTATTGTTGAAGGAAGTTGGAAAAACATGTATTTTCACCCCCAAATGACTTGACCATCTGCTACTTGTGACGTCATATCTTCAAGCCATAGCAACTGACCATCACTAAACATGCCTCAAAATTTGAACGAGTAGCCACTGAAAACGCCAGGTGCTATTGTTTTATCCTCTAGGAAAAAAAACTCCGAAAAACCTTATAGGGGGGAGGAGGGAGGGGGTTGGCATAATTCACCGTCTACTGTTTCAAACCCGCCGGTTTGGACCAGGCTTTCTGCTTGATAAAGGAAAATAAGTTTTAATTTATGTCCATTCTGATGATCATAGCATGTCAGTTTGGCATGCATCCTTCTCTTTTCTCTCCCTCCCTCCCCCCCCCACCCCCCTTTCACTTCACCTTACCTATCACAAATTCTAGCTCTTCTATAAAACAAATCATTTTCCAATCCCGTGTTTAATCTGTATCAGTGAAAAGAAGGAGACAAAACCAGCAAAATTTAAAATAGATTTAACCTATATAACCACGTCAAATACTATTGAACTTCTTAGTCCCCCCCACTTTTAAACAATCTTTTGAATAATAGCTATCGGTCTCTTTAGTTGTTTTCTTGGATGAAAATGCTCAGGAAATGTGAAATCTTAACATGACGTATTCCAGAATATATTTTCAGTCTTCATATCAGAGATGTCCCTTTCCTCTCTCCCAAATTAAATTCCACACTTCTCTTCTTCCCAAGTGAACCTATGAAGGAATACATCGTCCAATATAAGGAAATCTGGATTCCAGAATCCAGGAGATTTTTGCTTGCGGAATGGAAAATCCGGGAATTTTTTTCTTTTAGAATTCTAATCAGTAATCCTTCTGATAACGATTGGCATCTGAAATTCACGTTCCACTGACAAAAATTTGCATCTAGTACATGGAATCCGGAATCCACGGCGTCAAATTCAGAATCCAAGATTTGATTGGATTCCCTTACATAAGGTGAAATAGAGACGTAATGTATGGAATTTTACAATGTGGTCGTAAGCCGAGTAAACGTGTTGGTCACTTAAATCTGTTTTTAGTAAATGAAAAAAATTTATAGGAATATAGGCTGGACAAATTAAAGTGGCTGAAATAACGAGGTGGCTGTATAAACCTAAAGTAAGGCTCCATAGTTTAACTGTAGGCTGGAATGCACGGTCTCATCTTGGACGATTTACAAAGCATTTTAGCCACGAGATATGGTTATTAAAATGCGGTGGAAAAATAGGTTTTGGGGGCCTGAAAGGTTCCTGTCTCAGACTGTGGTTACTCGTAACCAATTTTTAATGAACACCACCGTAAAGGGATATAAGATAAAAAGAACAACTAAATTCAAGTTCTTACCTTCTATTAAGGCCGGCTTATCGGATCGCTTGGGTTTTTCCCGCTAAAAATGTATGGATTTTTCATGTGCTTAGACGTTTACAGAATGATTAAATACAAAGTTTACAGAAATTGCGACAAGTAATTGCCAAGGACATTTTCGACGAGAAATAAAAACAAATTAATTTAAAAGTCATTGATTATTTTGAATAGTCTACCACAAAGGGGATATATAGTAGTCCAGGTATATATTTTTAATTTGGCACTTTCGTTTTTACTACTAGCTATTTCTACAGGGTACCACCATTGTATTTGTCGACTTAACCTGCAAATGTCAAATATTGTCACATTAAGTAACAAGGAAATTCTGTTATCAAGACCGCCGAAAAATGCCATAATTCGTGTTAAAATCTTGACGGCATAAAAGGAAAACGTAGAGGGCGGATAGCAAATATTTCTTATCGTTTCGAAGTCTGTAGCTTTTTCACGAAAGTTTGTTAATTATGTATTTAACACCAGCCCGTTTAGTGACCTCAAAGAGGAATCAGGTTATTCGCTTTGACTTGCGTCTTGATGCGGCTTCAAGAACTACGATCATAGCCACTGGCCGTTAATACAGCGAATAAGGTGGCAATTTCTGTCATTTTAAAGGTGGGTTTCTACAAGAAGGGGGTAAGACATTTGATTATGAAATTATAATAGTTAATTAAATCATCTACTTTGCAAACAAAATATATAAAATAAAACAGGTTTTCCCTAATATATGATAATATATATTAAAAACATGTGGGGTGAAAAACGCAGGTTTAAGTTTCCCTGAATGCCTTGATCTCAACAGTTCTTTTCATTATTATATTGCAAAATTGATTTCAGTAGCAACCTCACAACTGTGGTTTCTACTCAAACGATGGTCTTTACCAGTGCAACTATTAGGCACCTTCAAATATTTCTGATAATATATATTGAATATTTCACCTTTTTGCAAATTTACATAGTTAAGCTTATTTTACTATTTTTATTTTTGTAAATAAGAGTTGATGTCTTTGTGCTTTTTACAGTATGCGGCCCACAATAGTCTTGTGGTTTATCAACGCCCTCCTTTGTTCCATGCTAAAGAAAAGTGTCGCAGGTACAGGTGTAGTATAAATAGTAATCTTATTAACTCTATGTTAGTTTTAAAATCAGTGTTGAGGTTTTAAAACCAGTGTTGAGGTTGTACTTGTTAAACATTTGGCTAAAACAAACCTACATGTTTGAGAAAAACGTTTAAACTAGACTAATAAGATGGTGTCCTTTATAGTAAGCAGCCGCCCCCTGAATTGTTATTGATAAGCTGAATTAAACAAGATCATTGTACTTTACAGTACTCACTTTCGCTTCTGCAATACTATAAGTTCCTATAGTAGTGGAACTAACAAAGGCTTGTTGTTGCTGTTGTTTTTATTGTCGTTTTTGGTGCTGTTGTTGTCGTCGTCGTCGTTGTTGTTGTTGTTGTTGTTGTTGTTCTTCTTCTTCTTCTTCTTCTTCTTCTTCTTCTTCTTCCTCCTCCTCCTCCTCCTCCTCCTCCTCCTCCTCCTCCTCCTCCTCCTCCTCCTCCTCCTCCCTCCTCCTCCTCCTCCTCCTCCTCCTCCTCCTCCTCCTCCTCCTCCTCCTCCTCCTCCTCCTCCTCCTCCTCCTCCTCCTCCTCCTCCTTCTCCTCCTCCTCCTCCTTCTTCTCCTTCTCCTTCTTTTTCTTCTTCTTCTTGTTCTTCTTCTTCTTCTTCTTCTTCCTCAAACAATCGTATCGCTCGCATTAGAGTTGTTTTCCGATATGATTGAATTTTTGAGCTGGAGAACACAGAGCTAGAGATGACTCTGGTCTAATTGATCGAGACAAACCGGGCGATTGAAAGAAAATTGGGCTTTGAGCTGTATTCTGTGCAATCTAAAAGGCTTGAGTTCAGGGTAACAGAAGCAGTTTCACCTTCAGTTCACAGTGATATGATAAAATTGTTTCAGATTCCTCAGGGACTTTCACTATTGACAGCAATGGGGTAAAGGGCCAAGGAACATACACGGTTATCAATGGCGTGGTGGATATATCGATAGGCCTGAAACTAGAGACAGGAACTACATCATGCGGGCCAAATGATGGAGTCAGCACTTTGACGGCATCGCTGCCAAACCCTACACCTATCGCGTCAACAAATAATGAGGCTCGCTCGTCACCAACTCCAAACGCTGAACCTACTTCGTCAGTTTTTCCAAACACTGGACACATCTCTTCTCTTCGTCCTAACCCTGAGTCATCCTCCATGCCTCATCCAAGCAATGAGCCAAACTCATCACCCATTGAGAGCAGTACCCTTCTTTCCAGCAGGGAAACAGCTCAAATGGCCCCAGAAATCATTCTCACGCCATATGGTAACAGGACTTTCGTGTTTTCTAACTTAACAAATATGCAACCTGTAATATTTTGGGTGGGTTTGGTCCGATTTATAGCCAGTAAGATAATGATGATGATGATGATGATGATGATGATCATAATCGCGATGATGAAAACAATGACTATAACTTTGCAATTTGAGCTTTGAAGTACAGCGATACAATATAATTTCTATTCAGCTAAGAACCTATAACACCTACCCAAACACAATAAATAAGAAAGGTTATTCAACGCCAGAATTTCATAAATTCTAAATCTTTTCATAGATAAACAATTCATCGATGATATGGTGACTGTCCACAATAAACTTCGGTCGGTCCACTTCTCCCCACCTATTCAGAGCAACGAAGAAATGTCCTTAGAGGCCAAAAAACTCGCTCTTACTCTTGCCAGTGAAAAGGACCTTCGACACTCCTTACCTTCTGAAAGACCTAACCAAGGTGAAAGTTTGGCCATGGGATGTACTACTGCGTCTGGACCGGGGATTTCGGCAGCCGAAGCCATCAAAAAATGGTACCTGAATATATATTTATTTTGCATATGTTCAGTGTCAAACGAGTACTAAGCTTTTTTTTTTAAATTAGTTTTAAAGCAATCAGGTATAATTGATCAAAGGAAATGATCCCCTTTTGCAAGATTCACTTTTTGCTCACTAGAGGACTTTCCCGCATTTTCTTCGTGTTTTTTCTGATTTTTTTTCCTGTTTTTGTTTCTTTTTGTAATTCGCTTTAACCATAATATATAGATTTAGCCAGGGCTAAAAGCGAGGCTCCCATTAGTAAATTTATAATTTAAATTAAACAATAAACTTGTATTCGAATTCCACAATTCAGTTAACTTTAGAGCACATTTATGTGACTTTTGAGGGAAAGGCTACCTGATTTTAGAGAAAAATAATTTGCAAACAGCCCAAGAGTGAACCAAATCTTACATCGAGTTGATAGCCTCATATGTACACTCAAAAACTGGTAATCATCTTTTATCACATTTAAGAGCCGTAATGGCTATTGATCACCGTAGATCAATTAGGCTTAGAAAAAAAACCAGGCCAACGTTTTGGCGTTCGACAAGTTTACTTTGCAAAATCTTGCCAACAAATCTGGGTGCGTGTAAACCAACCTTTTATACCATGGACAGAAAGCAGTATTTCACAATACAAATTGCTCTCATTCAATATTCATAAACTGTTAAAAAATTTTCCAAAATCACCTATACGGCCATCCGGTTCTCACTTTTGTAGTGCGAGCTGTAGCGAGTGTTTGAATGAACATTAACAGAGTTACGCTTCAAGATAATAAAGAATTTATCATGTTTATTTTTTATTTGATGGTTTAACGCGCGGCATTTTGAGAACTCCTGCAAGCGATGTTCACTGAACGACTGAAAACAATCGGCATAGCGATTAAAATTGCAAGAGAGACTACTAACAATCAATAAAAGAAATATAATTCGGTGAAACATAAACAGAGACAACAATTTTCATTCAGGAAGACAAGTATTAAAGTGTCCCTAAATATCCTGAATCTTCAAGCTTCAAGCTTAAGTTTGCTGAAGTTTATGTTTTAAGCCAGCTTCCCGGTGTTTGTTTTTTCAAAGACGAACTCGAGGCAAGAAAATCGCTCAAAGCTTTCTTTTCCGGCTAGAATTATAACTGAAGATTCTTTGGAACATTTTCTTTCTATTTGCGGTGAGAAACTGTCTAAAGGCTTTTTAAAGTTCTGTAAGATTATATCAAACCAGATACTCGGTGAGATCGTTGTCTCAAATCTTACAAACGCGCATAAACTAAATTCCCGCATAAACTACGCTCCACTTCATGAAATTAGATACAAAAAACAAACATGAAATACAATAATTTCTCTGGCTTACCATTCGAGATGCAGCTCCTGAAAGTTATCAGGTAAAGCCAGTATCGCTTCAGACTTTGCAATCCTCTTACGCATCAAGCAAGGTGAAAACGAAAACGATGCCATCCGAAATCGGATTTCCGACTTTGACAAGCGACGTTTTCTCAACCAAAAACCCAATAAACAAAGTAGCCATGAGTAACAGAAGACTCCTGATTGCAGCTGAATTTCATTTTGTACATCCAGTGGAAAAAGACAGTTAAAAACATCACAAGTTGACGCAA